GTGAAACATAAAAAAAAAAAGTGTGTTTTCACATTGGATTTTGACAATATTATCTATCCCAGATGTAAATGGTCAAATCCATAAACTGTTAATTAGGCATATAACAAAACAAACTATTGATAACTTTTAATTTGAGCATGTTACCTCATACAGTTCACTTTGAACCCATCTCGAGTAAAGTTCATTAACTTCAGTGCTTCTCGAGATCGAATTGCCATCATTGACTCTTTAAGCTTCACAGTCGTCCAGCTCAATCAAGCTACAAAAGAATTAAACCAAACAAATTAGTTGAGCAAAAATAGGATTAAAAGAACGAAACAAAAACCATTTCTTGCAAGGATGCAAAGATATAAGAGATTTTGAACTACTAACTAAAAAGAAAAAGGGAAAACTATAACTGTGTAGCAATGTGATTCATTTCCTAGTCAGGGGTACACAATTTAAAGCTATTCAGGAACCTTTGGAGGGTGATCAGAGGGGGTTTGAAATTGATCCAGTCAATCTAAACCAGTTATGATAAAAGGAACTGAGAAAACTGTTCATTCTAATATTCCATTCACATCCACTGTTGTAGATGTTCCCTCTATTTTATGTGCTTGCAAGTCAATTTTACTTCTTCCACCACTTGTAGATGTTCAAATCTCTTTAACAGCAGTGCGAGCTGTATGGCATTATCCATTGCTTGAGATTTACAAGGCTCTATCCTCAAAATAGACCATCAAATATAGCCCTTTGAAAGTAACATAACTCCAGCAATGCCTATCCCCGTTTCTCCAAGAAATAAAGCTTACAAAAAAAAAAGAAGGAGAAAAATGCTTCTTTTCTCTAATTCTTTAGAACCCAGGAGACCAAAAATGAAGAAACCAAATGTAGATACGTAAAAAAATCTTAGTTAATCTCTTGTCATGACTAAACAGCTACAAAACATGTAATTTAACATTACCAAAAGCCATCATTGTGAACATTTTATCTTCTAATTACCATAAAGAGAGAAAATTAAGAGAAAGAATTTCTACCCAAATAACACTAAGTGAGCAACGCAGGATGTTTTTCTTTTATGTTTTGGGTTGTGAAGAAGGAAAAAAGAAAGGCCCCGAATAGATTTTCCCAACTAACCAGTCTTTTTATACTGAAGTAAAAAGTATCACTATTTAAAAAAAAAACAACCATCAAATATCATATTTACTTCTCTATTAAGACGTATATGCTTGCAAGACCTCCCAAATATTTAGATATTTCATTCTAAACATCATATAGTTTCTACGCTTGACCACAAAAATTCCCAAAAGTTTAAGGCACATTGACAAAAGCTTATTTTGGATCACTATATAAATTGAACCAAAGCATCAAGCAATTTCTCTAGCATGATCAAAATAGTATAAAGCAAAAGGAAAAAGGCTAAAGCTTTGTCGTAAGTAAAATATCATATGATGAATGAGCTATAATTGTAAACCAAAGCAGCACACCCGAGAATTTTTTGTATAGCTCTCTAGAGATTGTTTCAAAGGTGAAAACAACCAATAAGAACATCAGAAATTTACATGATCCGAAGATTATTATACAAATGAAAAACAAAGGAATCAGTGATCAAATCTTTAATTAAATCAAGCAGTAATTATAATAATTTAAAGTAAGGCTCGGATCTATTAGCAAAAGTCAGGCAGAGATGAGAGTACCACCATGGCTACAGACCCAATTGCATTTGAAGGGGAGAATGAATGTCAAATGCCATAAGGGTTGCCTCGCCAAGATATGGCAATCAACTTAAAGCCTGAAATACATCTAAAGAAACCAAAATGGTATCATTATAGCCCAATTGCGAATAAAATAAATTAGTATATTTATAACTTTCATCTGCTGTAATGCTCCGGCCAGAAAGCTACACCTTTTTCCAAAAAAATTACCATCCATCCTTGTAATAACCTAGCAAGAAACAAAAGGAAACATGAAGAAATATTCATATCAAAGGAAAAATTAAATCAAAGGAAAAATTAAGAGAAAATTGCTCATGAATGGACACATCTACGTAAAAAAAAAAAGAAAGGATAAACTAATATACACCCTTCATGAAGTGTCAAATTGGGAAATTCTTGACAACATTAGTTCAGATTTAAAAAAAAAACTTAAAATTTGAATGACCTTGCAAATTGTCAAAATCTTAAAACAAAGAAGCGACTATTGAACTCTTTTTGCGCCCTTAAATAATTCGTTAGAATTGCTGACGTGAAATTGACTTTCCCAAATCATAGTTATGTTTGTCCTATAGAAGCCATTTAAACTTTGGAATTCTAGGTTAATGAAATGCATTGGAGAATTAGTACCGGCCATAAAGTATAACAAACCATTCTAGCTCTCTAACAAATACTATTAACTGTTGTACATTCCTATTTATATGAAAATTAATTATGAAATGTGCAAGAGAAAATGGTAGCATAGACATAAGATGATAGGAAATTTCACTGATGAAGAGCTATGCTTTACCTATCTTATTTTGGTTTGCATACAGTCCAAGAGGCTTAAGATCTTCCAAAAAATTTTGAGAAGACTGTCTCAAATTGGTACTTTCCATTCGCAAGGAAAAGATACACAGAGGACCAAGCTTTAAAAAAGTTATGGAAAAAATGATCATCTGTAAAATGAAAAGGAAAAAGAAAACCATGACCTCCAGTAGTAGTGTCTTTCACAATCCAATAAGTCTATGATTGGGTAAAACTCATTCAGTTCTTTGTACAATACAATAGCACCAAAATTTGAAGTGTTTTTTGCAACATGATCATAGTATGTATAAAGAAAATAGGGGAAAAATTTTAAACCTGTTTCAAAAATAAATATCATACATATCTATGACAATTCAAAAGGTATCCACCATTTGAAAATAGTGTATTAGCAGCATGCAAATAATTAAGGACCTAAGGCTGAAATTAAAGAACCACTCTATCCAATAGTGACCATCCTTCAATCAAAAAGCCACAACAAAAAGGAAAATATAACATTTTTAACTTAAAAATTTTACTATTCCACGAACTGGTTTTAGAATGATTGAATCTTGACCTGGCCACGCCTTTAATATAGTAAAGTATGTTAATAACATGACCAAAAGTACTGAAAAAAGCAGATAATTTAAGAAAATAGGATCTGAATGCAAACGAATCCTCACATCTTCTTGTTATTTCAACTGCAAAAAATTAACTATACATTTTCAACAAATGAAGAAATTGGAAAGACCAACATATCATACCAAATTTTTTATTGCCTACAAAGATTGAAACTATTTTAGGGACTAGTAAATATGCTATAATTTAGGCTGTATTCTCAAAATGTTACCCCCAATAGATGATTACAAGCCAACCTTAGCTTCTCAGAGCCAAATCAACGGGAATTTTATTTAAAAAAAATTGGCATTTTTGTAAACTAAAATAAAAAAATGATGTTCTTGTAAAAGGAAAAAGAAAGGCAAGATCTCTACAAATACGCAAGGAAGAGGTATTTAAAACAAGTATTTAAATTAGTAGGACTCCATGATCACTTACAGTGCTATTGGTCGTTAGTCAAAGAAAACCCAGAAACTAAGAACACACAAAATATTTTCTTGTCAAGGATTCAAATACAGAAAACCTGGAAAATTACAACCAAAACTTAATTTACCAAAATAAAACATGAAATTTACCAACTTTTCCCACCTACAATGACAAAAAAAGGTCAAGTTCAGATCAAATAAGTAAAAGGAGAAAACAACATGAACAAAAAATTTAATGAAAGAAAAATCTCAAAATGTTTAGATTCAAAACCTAAAAGGATTTCAGATTTGTCTCTACCACTTGCTTATCACATACATGGATAGAAAAAGGTGAAAGGAAGAAGAGGATTTTGACCAAAATAAAAATAAGAATACGAGAGAAGAAGAGGAAAGGAAGACGACCAAGCAGAGGCAGAAACATTTGGAGCCCTTTTATGCTACAATATAAAAAAAATAAACAGCATTAGTTTGCTCAAAAAGCTACAACTAAACCCCCCCTCCCACAATTTTGCTAAAAAAATGAAAAAAAAAATTAAAAGGCTATATTATTTTTGGCAAGGAAGAAAGAACCTCAGAGCAAATTATTTATTCTTCTTATCATTTGTTCTCACCAAGATAGATAGAAGATAAGAAGATGAAGACAATGATGAAGACAAAGATGAAAGGCTGAGGGGGGTTTCGGTGATGATGAAAAGCGAGAAAAGATGGATGGAAAGGAGGAGAAAAGACGGTTTTGAGTTCTGAAGCATCGAGCAGTCAATTCTCACCAAACCCACATGGGTTTCTTTTACAAAGTAAAAAAAGAAAAAAGAAAGAAACATGAAAGTCACATGGGACCAGATTTCAATGGAAGACTTCCAAACAAACAAACAAACAAAAGAATTGCTAGACGTCCAATTCACATGAGGTAATTTACACGAGTAGGACGACCATCAATTGGCCAATGGCAGATTGACACGTCAGCAATTAGAATCAATTGGGAGCCATTGCATTCACACATAGACTATATATGTTAATTAAAGTAGTATTTCTAGAATGCTATGATTGCCTTGTGTTCTCAAATTTTGAGGATACGGTGAATGTCTCATGCCTGACATGTAAGGACTAGAGGCATAACATTTTTTAGTGGTACCAGAGCCAGCTTATGATTGACATTGTAGGAAAGTCACATACTAGGCAAATGACAAGTTGTAGTCAGGAGATTAGACTTGAAAGGTCTATGCATGTGATTTAAGTTGAACTTGTTACTACTGGTGTTATTGTGATTTTGTAGGAAAATGGTTGATCCAATGCACGTAGAGAATCAGGACTGTCCAATCCACTTGACAAGATGCAATGTGACCCATCTTAGGAAGAAGCAAAGGTTTTCTAGAGATTTGTACTTTGGGAGTTAGAGCGAACCACTAGGAAGGCAGAGATACTAGCAGACCGTATATCTAAGCAAACACACGAGATATCTACATTGATTGTATCTAGGAAGCATATGAGACGGAGCAATGAAGTTTTACATGAGGAGGTTAACCGTCTGTGTGATGAGGTTGATCGTCATAAAGTAGATCAGAAAGATGAGCAGAAGGTGCTTATTGATATGTGATCGGAAGGATTCCAAGAGACGATTATCCTTCTAGATGAGAGTGATATTGCCTATCAGACATTAGTCATGAAGTAAAGAGGAAAAGAAGTAGCGTATCTTCAATCAGAAAGATAATTAGCTGTCACTTGTTGGAAATATTAGTGTGGCCTACATGACCACATGATATTGTTTCAATATTCAATTGTTATCTCACTAGCTTATGAGATAAATAACCACATGAATAGATTTATGTTGATAGTCTTAGAATCCTAAAGATAGACAAATTGGAGAAAGTAAGGAGTCCCATATTCATTGTATATAGACGTATTATATATATGGTACTTTATCTAATAATTACAGTGATTATTAAGTTGTATCTTATCATAATATTTAACAAATAAAGTATCATATATCTGAAGATATTAGAGTCTATCGTAATTCTATGATGGGAGGGAATGTGATTCTATAAATACTCTAGGGCTCCTGGTCCCTCTCACCATTCTGACATACGTTATTTTTACCCATCACTAAAATAACATAATAGAGAGTTAGGTGAGGGAAGGCTAGGCAGCAAAGGTTTACAGTTTACAACCTTGGTGATTGGAAGGCTTGCTGAAAGGGCTATGAAATTCTTCTCCAAAATGTCTTCAATATCTCAAGATATGTTAATTTAGAATTTATTTCTTAATTTTAATTTACAAATCATTCTAAAGATCTGGCTCCTTATGTCTAACATTTGGTATCAAAGCAAGGTTAAAGTTTATGACTTGTAAATTAATTATGTCACACTTAATTCTGATTTATTTTGTCGATAAAATTTAAGACAAAATTCTTAGAGTTCAAGAATCTGGTTCATTGTCTCAAGTACCACATCTGCATATGACGGTCTTGATTCTGTTCCTTAACGATTTCCTATAGTTGTTATGGAAAGGTGATAGTTAGATGTTTTTTTTAATCATATATATATGCTTATTATGAATTCCATGATTGATTGTCCAGCTGTCATCTATGCAATTGCTCATATGCGCATGACTTTAAGTGGCCTATTAATCATGTTATCGGACTTTGGAAAGGACATCTGTAAGAACACAAAAAGGGATAGATAATAACTTTCAGACCAATTAATTGACCCTTCTAGTTAGCTTGGAATGTGTACCAACTTCTATTGTTAGTTGGCTTTGGATAGCAGAATTAACAATAACTGAATAGAAGTTTTGTTTTCTTAGTTATGAGAATCAATTAATTTTGTTTGGTCTACCATATCTGATCCTTGGGAAAGTATTCAATATTATTATTAAAGGCTTAATTGTTATCTTAACAATATCTAAGCTGTATGTAACTGCAAGAAATTAAGGAGGGTTAGATGTATGCTTGGTTACAGTACCCAGAATTTTCTACTAATGATTCTGAATGTAACCACCATATTATGTGCATCTTAATTTCTATGACATAAAGGGTTTTGTGTGTTAAAATAAAATTTGAATGGGAAAATCGTACTTGATCTGAAACACCATTTATGAGCAATTATATATCGCTAATAAATATGCTCTATTGCAATAGCCTTAATATTCACGCTTGAATTATGCTAGTTGATTGCATACTACTTTAATGGTTTCATAGTTTATGTCATGGTGTACCAATTTCTTTTTAACCCAAATGAGTTAGTGCATATATACTGTTACCTTTTGATTTCATAGTGTCCGTTAATTGATATGTGCACAATTTCGGGAAGAAAGTTTTGTACTAATATTAAGAATTACAATTTCATGAAAGGCTCAAATTTTAAGAAAGCGTATATAAATGCATATTTGGGCAATTTGAGACAAAGGTAAGCTTAAGAATGGTTCATGGATATTTAAGTTAGCATATATTAAACCAATGCAATCGGGTTCTTGGGCCCTAAAGTTCAATAACCTGTATAAACATGATAGTAATGATTAATTAGTTGTCACCAAAGTGGCCTAATTGATATAAAGTTTATGCAAAGGTTATTTATATCTATTTTGTATTATGCTATAGTTATTAAAGTTTGCCCAAAGGTATTTTAATTTCTATAGTCATGAGGAGTTATTATATTACCCAAAGGAATATGATATCTCTGTTAAAGTTTTAAGTGAATAATTGTTATCACTTAACGAGTGAATCGTTAGCATGTCGTTATTCTAACCCAAAGGTAGAATACGATGATGCACTTGATTACTCCGTATATATTTATCTCATGGCTTGACCTATATTTACAGCCATTACTCCAGCTTCGGTTACAGGAATTGCAGCTAACATTCTGGAGTTGAATGGGTCCAATTTTTCTGATTGGCGAGACCAAGTGCTTATTACCTTGGGTTGCCTAGACTTGGACCTATGCCTCCATATTGATGAGCCTGTGCAACATACTTCTGAAAGCACCAAATAGGAAAGGATCCTGTATGAGAACTGGGAGCGTTCCAACCGACTAAGCCTAATGATTGTTAAGAGTAAAATTGCAAAACACATAAGGAAGTCAATTCCTGACTCTGATAGGGCTCGTGTGTTTTTGGCATCAGTTGAGCAGCAATTTCAGACATCGGACAAAGCTTTGGCAGGTACTCTTATGGCTACTTTGACAACTACAAAATATAATGGAGTGTGTGGTGTTCGTGAACATATCATGGAACTGAACAATATTGCTGAACAACTTAAGGGTATGGATATAACTATTTTTGAGTCCTTTTTGGTGCAATTCATCCTTAACTCTCTTCCTCCACAATTTGGTCCTTTCAAGATCAATTATAATACACAAAAGGATAAGTGGAATGTTTCTCAACTTATCTCTGTGTCATGAAGAGGAAGAGAGGTTGAAAAGAGAAGGATTGTAGACTCAGACTGTGCACGTGGTATCACAAGGTCATAGACCTAAAAGGCACAAAAGGAAGAATCCTAAGGCACCAAATAAAGAGGCATCCAACCATAAAGGTTTTGGGGGGCAATGCCAATTTTGCAAGAAGAAGGGACATATGCAGAAAGATTGCGTAAAACGCAAGGCATGGTTTCAAAAGAAGGGTAATTTTCTTTCATTTGTTTGTTTTAAAACCAATTTAGTTGATGTTCCTTCTAATACTTGGTGGCTTGACTCTGGTGCAACTATTCACATTTCTAATAATATGCAGGGATACCTTACAACCTGCCAACCAATGACAAGGGAAAAGACAATACTAATGGGGAACATAATGGGGGTAAAAGTTGAAGCTATTGGAACCTATAGACTTGTTCTACATTTTGGCATTTTATTAGATCTTCCAAACACTTGCTATGTCTTGATTTAGATGGCTATAAATTTCAGTTTGGGGACAAGATTTTTTCTATGTCTAAAAATAATAGTTTTGTTGGTGGTGGTTTTTTAGTTGATGGATTGTATAAAATAAATCTTGATCCTATTTTTTCACAATCCCTTTCCCTGCATATGAATGTTAATGTTTGCACCAAACGCAGCTGTAATAATGAAACTTCATCATTGTTATGGCATAAACGTTCAGGTCATATATCTAATGACCGACTTAAGCGACTCGTAAAAGATGGAGTTTTACCAACTCTTGATTTTACAAATTTTGGTACTTGTATAGATTGCATTAAGGGTAAGCAAACTAAAAGTACCAAGAAAAATGCCACTAGAAGTTTAGTGCTGCTTGAAGTGATACACACAGATATTTGTGGTCCATTTCCTCCATGCATAAGTGGTGAAAAATACTTTATCACCTTTATTGATGACTTCTCACGTTATGGCTATCTCTATCTGATTAAGAAAAAATCCGATGCTTTGAGTATGTTTCAAATTTTCAAGGAAAAATAAAAGTCATGAGATCTAATAGGGGTGGTGAGTATTACGGAAAATATGATGAAACTGGTCATAATTTAGGACCATTTGCTAGATTTCTTCAAGATAATGGAATTATTGCTCAATATACAATGCCTGGGATGCCACAGCAGAATGGCGTAGCTGAAAGGCGTAACGAACCTTACTAGATATGGTTCGAAGTATGGTTAGTGACACAACTCTTTCTGAGTTTTTGTGGAGTGAAGCCTTGAGGACCGCCTTGTATATTTTAAACAGAGTTCCTACCAAAGCTGTTGCTAAAACCCCTTATGAACTATGTGTTGGTAGGAAACCAAGTTTAAACCATATACATGTTTGGAGTTGTCTTGCTGAAACAAGGTTTTATAATCCACATGAAAGAAAATTGGATCCAAGGACCATTAGTTGCTATTTTATCGGTTATCCAAAAAGGTCCAAAGGATATCGATTTTATTGTCCTAATCATTACAATAGAATAATGGAATCGAATAACGCTAAATTTCTTGAAAATGAGAATTTTAATGAGAGTCGTGATAAAAGGGATGTGGTGTTAATTCCAGAATCAAAGGAAATTTCTGAGACATCACATCCTAATGATAATAACGATACCATTATTCTCACAGATACACAATCTGATGATCATCAGATTCCACGAAGGTCAAAAAGAACAAAGACCAATGCTGTTTCAGATGACTATTTAGTGTATCTGCAAGAACAAAATGGCACAGGTGTTGATGATGATTCATTGACGTTTTTACAAGCCATAAGCAGTAGTGAATCAAATGAATGGATGGATGCTATGAAAAGTGAAATGGCATCTATGCAGGCTAATCAAGTTTGGGAACTGGTTGAATTACCTAAGGGTGTCGTACCTATTCAATGTAAATGGGTATTTAAGACCAAACGAGACTCAAAAGGTAATATAGACCGTTATAAAGCCCGACTAGTGGCAAAAGGATTCACTCAAAGAGAAGGAATAGACTATAATGAAACCTTCTCTCCAGTATCCAAAAAGGATTCTTTTCGTATACTTATGGCCCTTGTAGCTCATTATGATTTAGAACTACATCAAATGGATGTAAAAACGGCTTTCTTGAATGGAAATCTAGATGAAGAAATTTACATGCAACAACCCGAAGGGTATAAGGAGGAAGGTAAAGAGCAATTAGTATGTAAACTCAAAAGATCAATATATGGACTTAAACAAGCATCCCGTCAATGGTATCTTAAATTTCATGATACCATTACATCCTTTGGATTTCAAGAAAATAAACTTGATGATTGTGTATATCTAAAGGTTAGTGGGAGTAAGTTCATATTTTTGATCTTATATATTGACGACATATTACTTGCTACTAATGCGTTAAGTTTATTACATGAAACTAAAAGCTTTCTTTCTAAGGACTTTTGATAAGAGTTTATTTTACGTATTTTTAAGTGCATTTTATTAGTTAATTTTGAGTTGATTATTTAGTTTTATAAATAAAATAAAGAGGTTTTTGGTAAAATTATATATTTTTGGTAAAAGTGGATAATATTGCATTTCTATTGATTTTAATGGTAAAACTTCATTTTTATGCAGGAATGATGATTCAATCACCAAAGGATGTCAAATGAGGTAAAAAATAGAGATTTGGTGATGAATTCAAGTGGCAACAAGAAGAATGAAGTGAAAAACGTTCAAGTGAGGAAATGCAATACAAGTCAGTTTTGACACTCTTCAGTATTTTGACCATATCTGGAGCTACACTTATCGGATTGAGGTGATCTTTATACCATTTTAAAGCTAAGAAAGAGACCTACAATTCGTATGAAGACATCGAAATCCATTTCTGCCATCTTCATGGGCAAAACGTTGGAATACAGAAGCTGCATTCTGTGGTCGGAAGTTAAAACAGAGGTTTGAACAGGCGACAGTATTTCGATCATATCTCAGGCTACAAAGCTCCGATTTGGATGATTCTTGAAGCATTGGAAAGCTAACTCAAAGGGCTACAACTTTTGTGTTTTGTACAAAAGCTAGTTTGGCTTTTATCATGGAGAAAATCGCAGTTGAAATAAGGCCAGAGTGAAAACGCGAGTAGACAAAACGCGAGTTTATGCCGCGTTTTGTGTAGGCGCGTTTTATAGCCGAAATTCTGCAATTTGACTCAGTCAATTCTCTTGTGTTCATACCACTTTCCAGCTATAAGATGCAAGGGAATTCGGTGCACATGCTTCTGCAATAAAAGAGAAGACCAAATGAGTGTGGACAAAAGGAAACATCATATCTTTGACTTCTTTTTACAAAATCTGAGTGGAGGAAATTATGAAGTGAGAGGAATGGAATTTCTACCACCTTTTATGCAGAAACACAGGGGAAAAGCCTGGCATCACCATACGTAGCTAGTTTTCCTTCTTGCAACAAGTTTTCTCTCTAGTTAAGAGTTCTTAGAGAAGCATTTGGTTTTTCACTTGTAACCATCTTGTACAAGAACATAGCAGGAATTGGAGAGCTTTACCTTCAATTGGCTAAGCTTTCTTTTATCTTTCTTATACTTGTACTTCATGATGTTTTGCATTAATAAACTTGTGAGTTTGATTGTTAAATCATTCATGAGTAGCTAATTTTCTATATCTAGGGAGTAGATGAAACTTATGGCTAAATAATACTAATTGAATGTGATTTACACTTGTTATATCTTGTATTAACTTGTCTACTTGTGTAGCTGTTCTTACTTGTTATTGATTGATCACCAATAGCATGTTTATAGTGTTATTATTCAATGAGAGTTGGTAATAACAATTGAAACACATGAGTAGAGCTTGAGTTGTATGTTCATGAAAATAGAGATACACTTAGGTGGATTATTTAGCATTTCATGAAATAAAACAGAGTAGTAGTAGTATTTCACCATGAAAATAGGGAAATCTATATTGCTCTAGGCCATTTCATCATGAAAATGAGACTTGGTAATCTTGGAAATAAATCTCTGGTTAAGCAAGAATAATAGCAAGAAGTAAATCCATTCATTTGTGTAGTTTATGCCATAAGTGGAATCTACATCCCTAGAATCTTCCTTAAGTGAAATTTCTCTATTTGCATTCAGCATTTGTTAAACTAGATTTGTATATTAGAGTTGTAGATTACAGCATTAGACTTTCTCTGCTCAGATTAATTGTAAGTCTAAATAATAGAGAGAACAAGGGCTTAGTAATTGTTTAAATTGCTCCTCGTGGGATCGACCCGATACACATCTTGTACTACAATTGCGACCTGTATACTTGCAGTCCAACGGGTGTAAAATCGGAATTAAACTTGCATTGATAGTAAAAATCCCGTCAAGTTTTTGGCGCCGTTGCCGGGGAGCGGCAATATTAGAGCCTAATCATCTTTATTAATTTAGACAGTTTTATTTTTTAGATTATATTTAATCTTATACTATAATCAGTTTTTTTTTACCATTGAAGTTGCATAATATCCCTTATTTCTGTTTGTAGTGTATGCACCGGGAGTCTCGAGAAGTCGCACCTTTCGATCCAGAAATTGAGAGGACACTACGTAGACAAAGGAGGCACACACAACAGCAAGAGGAACAAGAGATTTGGCAACCGATAGAGGAAATTTTGATAGAACTATCATTTGAAGAAGAAATGGCTGAAAATGAAGCAAATAGGCGAGTTCTACGAGATTTTGCTCTACCGGGAACACAAGGATCTCAAACAAGCATAGTAAGGCCTACGGTAAATGCTAACAACTTTGAGATTAAACCATCACTTATCCAAATGGTTCAACAATCTCAATTTGGAGGTAATGCAGTAGAAGATCCTAATACACACTTAGCTACATTCTTGGAAATTTGTGATACAATTAAAATGAATGGAGTTAGTGATGATGCTATAAGGCTAAGATTGTTCCCATTTTCATTGAGAGATAAGGCCAAACTTTGGCTACACTCTCATGCTCCTAATACTTTCACCGGATGGGATGATTTATCAAGAGCATTCTTAAA